ACGATTTCTTCAATTTTTGTTCGTTGATCTTGTTTGATATGGTCCAATTTAATCAACTGAAGTAACTGTTTGACTCTTTCGTCACGATTATTCGTTTCTGGGTTAACAAGCTGTGCTGCGCAATGCGCTCTAGGTACTTTTCCCCTAACAATCGAGCGAGCTGTTAACAATGCATTTAATGCGTTACTAACTATATTTGGCTTTTGTAAGTTACTTTGTGATTTAATAATTGGATCGAAGTACCTATTTAGTATTTTGAGCAAGTATAAGCAATCGCTATTAATTTCAGATTCTTTATTATTTAGGCAACTAATAATACTGCTAGTTAATTCTCGTATTGACGGGTAATCTGATTCTTATTTTTCTGATTTTTTAATCATTTCCGATGCTTTGTTTAAAGCGTAGAGTAAATCGTATTCGTTTTTCAGAGTTTGCATGCGCATGCCAGAAGTTACAGATACAGAGTTTATTTTTACTGAGTTCTCGGAAAGGTAGTTAACAGACAGGTTGTACAGTTTGTCGGAATCTGATTTTTTTAGTGCTTCTCGGATTTTGTTTTCAGACGGCTGATGTATATACTCTTTAGGAGTCAGTATGTCACCTTGTTTTATGGCCTCGTGACCATTTTTTTTTACATGGGTTTTGATACAGGTGCGTTCGTCCTCTGAGTTTCGACTGCTAGGTGCAGTAGCTTTCTAGTAGGGTCGTCGACCGAATGCAAGGAGTTATTGCCGGGCTGTGCCTGTCCTTCGTTTGCGAGAGGTATTTTGCTGGGTGCCTGGTTAATTTTTTTTGTTACGGGAATAGCTCCAATGTAACAGGACTTACTTTCGGTGAAAATTGGGAAAAACAAGTCATTAATTTTTAAGAGATTCTTGGCGTAATCAATATACGCTCTGTATTTTTTTAATGACTCGCTTCCTATTACACCGTCTTCTAATATAGGAAAATTTTCCGGTACTAAGTGAAAATCTAGTACAAAGTTATAAAAGGTTAATGAAACTTTTCCTAATGTCGAGATACTTTCTTGCGAGATCCCCCGTAGTTCGTATCTGTCAAAGATATCTACGTAGACACCGTCTGGTTTGCTTGAAATTTTAAGTAGTGAGACTGCTGCCCCGGTGTCTACGATGAAGCTAAATTTTTGTTTGGTTGTTTTTATTTCAAGTTGAATTGTTGGTGACTGACTGTTAAAATGTAAAAGGATGCTTTTTTGTGCGTGCGACGTTTGAGGCGCTGTATTTACAGGAGCTCCCGGGCAGCGCCGAGTGTCTGGGAACCCTGTCTTTTTCCGCCTGTTGTAATTTTTGATTTCTGAGTTTTCGTTTTTCGCAATCACTCTTCCAGTGTCCAGTTTCTTTACAGTAATTGCAAATCGAGGAATTAATTTATTGTAATTTTTCTTGCGAATTTAAATTGACTGGGGCGCTTGTTTTTACTTGATTTTGGGCGGCTTAAAGTGGCTGATGGCTGGAGCGGGGATTAGTGTTATTCTTAGCTGCCGCGCGAGGCTCCGCCCACGGCTGCTGTTTGGGCTGTTGCCGTTGCTGTTGCGTAGTTGGTCGAGTTTGATTTTGATTCTGCGGTATCCGATACCAACAGTCTTTAGCTGTGTGTTTTGGTCTATTGCAAATTTGGTAGATGCTATTATCTTCCGCTTTCATTAATCGAACCGGCTCTATTTTAGGTTGGATTAGCGCTTTTACTGTTTCGGTTATTTCCTCAGGTTCCTGTACGTTGAATTCTCGTTCAATTTCTATTGCTTTCGTTGTAGCTAATTCTAAATTTTCGGCTTCCCCCATACGTGCTTTGATGACCCAGTATAAACCGCGGATGAAGAATTTTACTTTGTCTATTTCAAGTTGGTTTTTAAATCCAGCATAGTTTCGATTTTCCCTTACTGCTGCTTCAAAAAATTCGTCAGCCACTGTTTTCACTCTATTAGAAAATGTGATTACATTTTCACCACGTTTTTGTTTTAAAGTTGCCAATTCGCCTGTTAATTGATTACAAGTTTTTGCTGATCCGACCAGTAGGTCTAAAAATTTAATCAATTGTTCTACATTATCAAACGTTTTTCCTTGCACGCTTTTAAGTGCTTCACCGCTTAGTTTAATTTTAATTAACTTGGCGAGATCATTTTCATTGATTGTCGGGACTATGCTGCGTGCCTCTCGACAACCGTCGATAAACAAGTGTAAGGGTATGTTAAATCCGTCGAACTTAGGTACGAAGTTAACAGCGTCTTTCAAGCTAAAATTTTTTATTGGCGATACTATGTTTTGAGTGGAATTCATTAGTCCCGTTCTGAAAGTCCCCGGCGTATAATACATAGTAAATGGGCTGCTTGCAAAATTAGTTTTGTTTGTAGGGGCAAAGTGTCGAGTTGGAGTGAAATCAACTTTTTCCGATTTATTATAAGTCATTTCTGGTGATTTGGAAGCGGACGGTGTGTTAGTCATAGATACGTTTGTAGTGGGCGCGTTGTACGTGTCTGAATTTTCAATTGCTGTCTCGTAACTCGTTTGATTTTCGATGAGCTCGAGTAATGGAATTTCAGTTTTATCTAATTTTAATTTTTCAAAATTTATATCCGTAATAGCGTTAAGGAGGAATGCTGCATTTAAATTTTTACTAGTCATTTCAATGAGGATGTCAAATATTAAGTCATCTTTACATAGAAAGTCTAATGGGCTTGTATCAATGTTGTCTTGTAAACTATATTTTAATCTTTGTAATTCTTTGACTCGGGTAATTTGCTTTGTTTCAGTGGGTGGAAATCTTTGATGCAGATATGTGAGACATTCTGTAAGCGTAGGCTCCCTGTTTGTTGTGAAGTTTGGTTCTATTTCGCTAATTTTTTTTGTTAGTATTTTGAGTCTGATTAGTTTTCGTTCGTAAGGTGTTTCGACCATTGTAATTTTGCGATAAGATCCTAATTACCAAGAAATGAGGGGCCTCTAATTGTTATGTCTAGGCGAGGAGATGGTACAGCCAGACGTAATAATATATTCAAGTATTGTCGCGTTGGTAAAGGTTGGATCTTAGTCAGGAGTTAAGCAGAGGTTGGTTAAAGGGATAGCGCCTTTATTATACGTAGGGCGTTTTAAGTAGATAAAATAGTTTCTTACCTTATTAGGATTGGATTTCAGAAGAGGTTTTTTACGAACAGTCTCAGGTGTTTGCGCTTGATTTAAGGTTTATTGTTTAAAGTTAATTATAATACTTAACAGAGTATAATCCCGGTTCTAAGTAGCCGGATAGTTAGACTTAAAAAATAACTTTGCGAAACTACCAAACTGCTGAATCGTCAACTGTGTACTGCGTACTGTGTGTGCGAATTCCAATCCAGCCTTTTTATACCGTAGGCTGATATGCCCCTTCCTGTGTTTTCATTAATTTAATATGCGGTGAGTAATATTCGCGGAAATATTATGGATACGTGCTTAGACTAATCTATCCCGCTAGATAGATTTACAAATCTTCCCGGGAGGGTTGGTACAATAGAAAACTGAATTATCGATACCCGGTTTGTTACCATAACTTATAATTCGTCACGTACTTTTTCTTTCGTATCGACGTGACAATATTATTTATTATTTTAATTATTATTACGAAGTTAATATTTAGAAGCATTTTGAAAATCGAAACAAATTCTTACTCATTAACGCGACAGACCACGAGAGAACAAACTATAATGTAAATAAAAGGTTATACGAACATCACAAGATCATAACTACGCTTACAGCAAATATTCTCCACTTAGTTTTATTAAAAATTATTCGTTAAATGCTGAGATTATAATAAAACGATTTTATAGGTGAGATTTAAAGATGACTTTCTTTTTAAAGGTAGATGTCAGCATAAAAATAAAAATACGTGTCTCTTATTTCGTCAAGTAATACAACATATTAACAAATTATTAAAATCGGTGTGGTCGAGTTGAGGATATTTTCTTGTTAGTTGGAAATATGTAAATTTATGAATTAATCTATTGAGTAATTTTATTAAATATTTATAAAGCCTGGTATATCCAAAACAATTGTTAATTACATGTCACACTCTTTGCTGATGTTTGAAGGAATCTTGACAAATCAATGTATTCTTTGTTCAATGAAATGCCTGAAACATAAATAAATAAAATTTATGCTAACGTTAGATGATGATGTATAAAAAATGAAATCATTGATTTTCTACTTACCTAGGTGTAGTGCGGATATATGTTTCAATAAAAAACTTGTTACACCTGATGGTGTTAATTTAAAAACACTACAAACATAATTATTACTAATCATTCGCAGTCCATATATACAAATTTGTCGTAACCTAACTATCAGATATGCTGGTTTACTCGAACTATACGCGTTCAAAGGCCACTTATTAAAATGTAAGAATAAATTATATTTGGTGACTTGTTATTAACAATTTTAATTTCTTCCATAAATTTGCTCTCGGCATATCAAGATGTACACATACTTCGGGATTTTCGCAAATTCAAAATATCAAAACAAACGGCCACGCCTTAATAAACAGACACTTTGAGATTCAATAAGTTCTACGCATGCGCATGGACGCCTTTTCCTTTATAGGCATTAAATTATATGTGATAATTTCTTTCTTGGTGAATTTATTTCCTTAATAGTTATTTAACAAAAATAGTTTTTAATCAAGAGAATTATGAGCAGTTGTATAGTATTTTCAAAATTAAGAAAAAAGTCATTTTAATAGGAGAAAAAAAGATTTAAAAATTTCCATTATGAAACCATGTAATTATTGAATATCTTTTTAACAAATATACATGAGCATTTAGGAGTGATATTTTTGGAATGAGCATTGAAAATCTTTTCGAAAACAATTTTTATTATAATTTTTTAACAATTTTAGCTGCTAATTAATGGAGCTAGAAATTTTCGAGTGTCCAATTTCGATATTCTAATATCGAGTACTGATTGACAACGTCATATCGTTCTTTTTGCGTGCTTGATCGTACGTTAAAACACGTGGATAAGAATTGAAGGTAAAATTTTATTTAATTTTTGAAATTATTAAGTAGTTTTCTAGTAATTATTTATTTGTGAAGTTCTTTCTTATCTGCATTTTGTACTATTTATATAGTAATATAAATATTGTAAGTGATTAATTTACAAGCTGATCTTTATTAATGTACATGAAGTCGTTTTTCTATGAAGTTGAATTAATTTTAATTGATACTAAAATATCCAGGTTTTAAGAACAGTTCTAAACGGTTTTTTTAAAGAACTACATATATATGTCTTCAAAGTCAATCATTTAATGACATTTTTCTTTTACATGTAATTAATTCGTAGGTAAATATTTGATTTTGATTCAAGTGAAATGAAAAATATTTACGTAGTTGTCATTATAAATTTTATCTACATTAATATAAAATGTCTTTGCTAGTGTGTTTTATTAAAAATGCATGATATGTGATAATTGTGCTATAAAAAATGAAATATATTACCTGAATATAACTCAACTATTAGTTATTATGCATAAATACATTAAATGTTATGACAATTTTTTCCTATTCCTTATATCTTCTATGATACAACTATCAAATAATATTGCAAAGGAATCAAACAATAGAAATACGCTATTAGGCTTGTTATAATATCAAAGTATATAAAGGTATACAAAGCTTTTAAGTACAATGTATAATCACTGATACGATTTTATTATTCTCATCTTATTTCATTATAAATTATATACTTTAAGTCAATAGGATGATAGTTTAAACATAAATATTTATGAATTAGACTGCTTTCTTCTGTGTGTGTGTGTGTGTGTGTGTATGTATGTGTGTGTATGTGTGTGTGTGTGTGGGTGTGTGTTTTATTTATGTCATTTTTAGTTACGTATGTTATTATTTATACATTACTTATTGATGTTTATTAGGATAATGATATTGACAATATAGTTAACAGGATAACTAAAATTGCTAGAAAAAGTATAATTATTTTTGATAGTATCAACATTTATTTATGATAGAAATTTTAAATATTTAGATTTTTTATTACTTATGGTAGTTTTAATAAATTTATTAATATAGTAATAAATTAATATAGCAGTAGGTTGAAATATTAAGCCTTTAAATTACCATCGAAATTAGTATAAAAAGTTTGATTTAATATTTTATTTTAGTGAGTGTGACATACGTATGAAGATTATTGTTATATTCTTATTAGATTGATTTTTATAATTTATAAATTTGTGCTGAAATAGAAAAAATTATTGTTAATAGTATTTAGTTGTAGTATTATTTTTAGAAAATATTTTTTTAATATAATAAGTATTAAGTTATTATGTTGTAATAAGAAATCTTTATTTATTTAAAAAGAAGCTTATCAAAACTTTAAAATTAAACTTATTTTTCATTCTAAATAATTTTTTCAAAATATCAATGTTAAAATATTCATATATTTTTTAACATTCAAATTACGGTTATCCTTAAATTTTATGAGATAAAAGCAGAATTGAACAAAATGAATATTTTGAGTTACTTTTAATCTTAGACTATTTTGCAAAAAATCAAGTTCAGAAAAACAATAATGCTCAATGTTCTTTTCTAAATTTTCATATAATTTTTTTATTTGCTATACATTACATATTGATTTCAAGTTTTATATTATAACTTAAATTTCAACTAGCAATATAAAAATTCTAAATTCCAAAACTATTTACAAGCAGTAGTAATTATAATATAGGCCAGAATTTGAAATCATATGAAATTCTCTCATACTAGTTCAAAAAGATTCAGATGTTATTTGTTTGAATAATTAAATTATTGTAAAAAAAATTTTCAGCTCCAAATGTTGTGATGAAATTTAAAACAACATTCGTTCATATTAATTTGTAAATAATTATCCAATTTAGTTAACACTCAGATTCAATAACAATTCAAAATCTAATAATATAACAGCTTTTCATATATTTTGTATTTAGATAGTTGGCAGAATAACAAGTAGATTCTCCTCTATTTATTTATTTATTTAATTGAATCAAAATACCAATTGTGCTTAATCATTTAATTCAATTTATTTATTAACATACTTATTTATCATTTCAAACTTTTTGTAGGATATCTATATATCAATAGATACATCATATAAATAAAAATTAGTTTCTGGTAATATAGTACAGTACTTTTATCAAAATAAATTGGTAACATTTTTATTTCCAATAATCAACATAGCTGTTATTTTTCAATCTTTCAGCAGTGACAATTTTAATTTATTGATGTTATTTATTAGACACTAAACTTCATAACAAAACTATTTAATAAATTTATATGTCGAGGCAATAAATTTAATTGGAGAAGAGCATTAAAAATATTTTATCGTATTGTGTAGAGGTTAAACTGTTAAATGAATGTGGGTGGTATTCATTCTTTAATACCTATAAATTATTTTATTGTTTTAAGTATGTCTATATTCATTAACATCAGTCTCAATTTCTCTTGTCTTAGTGATATTTTCTATTTATTCAATCAATTGATAATAAATAAAAAAATAGGCCTTGAGCTATCAATTAGTACCAATTTGCTAAGTATGTCAGTTTTTGTACTAATATATTATGTTGTAAGTAGTTGGTAGAATATGGTAATTGAATTATGCAAACAAATTTTTTAAAGTGTATGTAAGATATATATAAATTTAGAGGTTTTTTGACTCATTATAAATTTGTGTCTCATTGTTTTAGACAAAATGAATGAAAACTTGGTTTCAAGGTTTTCCTTCAATATACTGTTTGAAGACTGCAAAAGGCCAGTACAGTTAATGAAAAACCAATTTAATGCTTGTAATTTACTTCTCTAACTTTTTCTTTTGCATAAACCCCCAGAAATTGTAAATTAAGAATAATTCTGTTGTAGCTTGAACTAACTTGAACAACGTACATGTAAAAAATTTGCTTAGGTCTTCTAGGACTTCAGTTTGATGTGCCATAATGAACTGCCAGTTCACCTTAGTAGTACTTCATGTTAAAAGCTTTCAGCCAATTTAATTACGAATAAAATGACTTCATTACACAGTCCATCTTATTTTATAAGTTTATATGTTTTATAAGTTTTAATTTTATATTGGAAATTTAATTGAGAGCAAGAAAATATTAATGATATATTAGTTTTACCAGTAGTATCACCAGTAATATTACCAGTAGCATTACCAGTAATATTATCATTAGTATTACCAGTGGATTTGGCTCTCCAAATTATGAAGTATGAACATGAGAACAAAAAGTTATTTTATAGATTATATAATAAGTTCTTGCAATTAGTGAAGAACGCGCTCTTAATGTAATGATCTCCACTTACACTTTTACGCTCTTGCTTACTTACGTTCTGCATTCATACATAACAATGTTTTTAATACTTATGTGATTATTATTCTTATTGCACCATATAATCTAAAAAAAATTGCTATTTACTGAAGAAATCGTTATAAAGCATATCAACTTGTGCAAAATTAAATGCAATTATAACTAGTCTTATCATATGATACATTAATAACAAATAACGATTAACCCAATACTAATGAAATGCTTTGTGTACCTTGCATTTATTTTGAAAAACTTTAAATTTCGTTAATTAGTAGTAGGGATAATTTGATGCACAGTATAAAACGATTGTAAACTAGCCAATTCAGTTTTGTTATCGTTGCGCTAAGCTACGCACACCACCGGAGCTCCGATGCCGGAAAGCGGATTATAGTCCAGGCAATAGAACCCGAAAAACCCGTTTCGTGTACTTTTTTCCGGAAAGCACGAAATTTTTACTGTGGATAGCTGATAATGAGTGTAACAACATATCTTCATCCAAAGTCTGAAATCGGTGCAGAACATTGTTAACTAGCCGTTTGAAAAAAATTTTGATCTATTTTCGTGTTTTCGCGTAATATCTTTTTTTCTAACAGTTAAATCGAAAAATGCTCCAATGGTTTTTTGTTCGTCTCGGCAAGACCTACAAAAACATGTGTCGCACGTTAATACATGTTAATTAGATAAAAGGTTATTAACACAAAAAGGCCAATTGTTTATTTAATAACTACTGTTCAATATTTGATCATAGAGATTTTCCATATACCTCAATGTAATTCTTATTACGTAAAGATTATGAACTTTGAAGCCGCAAGCTCTAATGTTAATTTCAATCTATACAGACGGTTGACAACAAATTAACTGTTTCGTTTTGTCCACAGTCCGAATCGTTAAGAAAAGTGACGTCGATTTTTTTCCCGGTACTTGTTAAGAGTTTATAATCGAAAACTGCAATTTAAACAAAAAAAAAATTTAATTTACGACTAAGGGAATTTGTTCTAAAATATTAGTTGAAGTCTCACAGCCCACAACAAAAATTTCAGCAAGCGGTAACACCTTTTTCTAACCTATATATTATTGCAAAAAGTTCTTATTGAACTGATTTTTATTTCATTCGACTTTTTACGAAAGATTGTAGTTTCCAAGAATATTTATGGGTGATCACCGTTAATAATATCAATTGAAATTCCGAGTACAAAAAAGTTGTTTTCCAATTGTTATTTATTTTATTTAATGTGTCACTACGGCCGATGTAAATTGTATATTTTTGAATCACAATATTTTATTGTAAGTTTTTAACTCAATAACTGTATTTTTGTGCATATTTATCATTAGTGTGATGTTTTGCGAATCAAAGGAAATGTTTTACAGAAAAGGCCATTTTTTGTATTTTTTACCTTTAAATATTTACTATGCAAAACGCATAAGGAAATACGAGGTCTCCAATATATATAATACTGTAATTACTATGATATTTATAAGCGATTCAATCAGTAAAATAGCTCGATGCTCTCATATCTACCTTGAGTTATAATTTAATGGACTAATACAACGAAGTTGTGGTAATCTGTGTAATATATTTATTCTGTACGTTACAAATTCACAAATCTTTTCTTAGCAAATACCGTATACCGTTCAGTATCGATTAGTTTTTACATTAAAAACATTAGGAATAGACTAAAATTCAAATTAAAAAGTATACCTCAATATCTGTAGGGACGAATAAGTAATAACATTTGAAATTTAATTGTATTATTTACAGATAAACAATGACTGACGTAGAAAAGTACGAGGAGTTGCCTACCAATGATGCCCTAGCAATCGGGTTATCTACGGAGTTGCCAGAAATCAAACTCTTTGGTCGGTGGAATTGTGAAGACGTTCATATTAATGATATGTCTCTTCAAGATTATATTGCTGTTAAAGAAAAAAATGCTAAATACCTACCTCATTCCGCGGGTCGTTATGCAGCTAAGCGGTTTCGTAAAGCTCAGTGTCCTATAGTAGAACGTCTGACAAATTCTCTTATGATGCATGGAAGAAATAATGGAAAAAAATTGATGGCTGTTAGAATAGTGAAGCATGCTTTTGAAATCATTCATTTACTTACCGGTGAAAATCCACTACAGGTATGTCTTAAGTTATAAAAATTAAATATCAATAGCTTTTGATTTATTCACTTACACTAATATTAGTTAATTAGCTTATTCATTGAAAAAGTACACAATGAGCCTTAATAGATTAGATAGACCAACGCATTTTCATAGCCGTAGACCGGACCAGGTGTACCTGAAGAAATTTGAGACGCTGAATCCGAATTCGAGCTTAGAAATGCTTCATTATCCTCAGTTTTCGAGATGTCCTAAGCTCGAAATGTCAAAAACACATTTTTTGCTGTTTTTCAACTCCTATAATTTTTTAACCAAATATTTTTCTGCAAATTTGACAATGGTATTTTAAAGAGGAACTCTTGCCCTTTAAAATGTACTCCTCATTTTTTCAATATTATTTTTCCGACATAGATGTGACACAATGAAGTATGATAAATTTTCGCAATGTCGTTTAAACAGAGGAAAGTTTCGCTTGAAAATAATCTTCGTTAAAAAATAAAATAATGTCCCAAGTACCTTAACTAATAAACCCTCTACTTTGCTAAGCAATGTGCCTTTACGACTACACCCAAGATCCTTAACCCACTAATTTTGTACCTTGCTAGGTTTACTACTGTTATGTTTCAGCGAAACTTTCCTCTGTTTAAACGATATTTGCGAAAATCCAAATTTATCATATTTGAATGTGCTGTAACGGGGGGGAGGGGGTGAGAAAATAATTGTAGGGATTTCCTCGGCTTCATGCGCTATCGACACCACTGGCGGTGTGCGCTCACAAGGAGGGGGGGATCAGTCAACGTTGGATTGCAGCTTTTTTATTTGTAAGTGTGTGTGGGTATTGGGCACCAGCTACCATCCTCGCGTTAGGAGGGCAAGTAGCGCTGCAGGTTGACTGGGTCGAGTGCTCGCCCGCACGAGGAAAGGTGGAGAAGGGGGGCTAGCTATGGGACTGCCGTTGCTGTTACTGTTGCTGCTGCTGAGGGCTCCTGCCGAGTTCCTGAACAGCTGTCTTATCGATTCGTCCTGGCCTATTCAGCCACGTGTAAATATCGGGGGGGGGGGGGGGGGGGGAGCGCGAAAAGGCTACTGAGCGAACGAGATTAAGAAGGAAAGGGGGTAGTCGGCTAGTCAAAGAGTGTCGGTGAGCGGGCTCCTGCCCAGAAGTGGGTAGTCGAAGTGACTCCTCCAAGGTCTCCTCGCCGGTGGGTATTTAGCGGTTATTTATAACGTGAGTGTGATGGCGCACGATTGCGATGTCGTCGTCATATCGATGCGCGTTAACCTGCTCCACTCAGCTTAATCGCGATTGCTACGAGGGAGAGGTACATTACAGGTTATGATTCAAAAGAAAAGAATTCTAATTATCTAGAAAAGTCCATTTATTTGCTAAAACCAAAATCCAATATCTGCCCAAAGTTAAACTACTTTATGTTTCCAACTATTACGGTGCTTCTATTTTCAAATTAGCTGCTCTAAGTGAAGCTATGCTACATTTCTAACTGTTGTTATGCTCCTATGTTAATCTGTCTGCTCAAGGTCAAGCTGCTCTATATTCCTAACTATTCCTATGCTTCTATTTCAATAGACTTGTAAATAGATTTGTTTTTTTCAAGCTATCTTGCAAAATCTACTCTTGCTCAGCCGAAGCACTTATTTTAAATTTTAAAACAGCTTTGAAAATGAAATTTCATGAACTACAAATTATCCATTCACACCTATGACCTATTTGTGCTTAAATAGGTTTAAATTTGAAAAATGTATCACGAAAAACCAATCGTGCGCGAGAGAGAACTAGTGCGGAGTGGGAGAACTAGCATGGAAAGAGGAGTACGATGTATATGGAAATATGAAACATTATAAATTTGATCGGAAATTCAGGTAGCCAAGATAAAAATACCCTAAATTAAAAAAAAATTCAAATAGCATTAATAGGTGCAGAGAAAATAATTAGCAAAGATTAATACCGAGCGTGCCGCGCTTCAGTATTACTACATACATCGTACTTCTCTTTGCTTGCTAGTTTCCCCACTCCGCTCTTATTTTCACATGCGGACTGATTTTTCGCGACACATTTTTCAATTTAAACCTATTTAAATACAAAATAGGAATAGGTGTGAATGGGGAATTTGTAGTTCATGAAATTTCCTTTTCAAAGCTATTTTAAAATTTAAAATAAGTGTATCGGCTGAGCAAGATTGGATTTTGCAAGTAGCTTGAAAAAAACAAGGCTATTTACAAATTTCCATAACTCTTAAAGTTATGATCCATTAGCGCTCATATTGTACACTAATAAAATATATGATATAAACTACAAGATATCAAAATTACAGCTCTTCAACGCTGTAACTTACCCCGTAATGATTTTTCGAAAACCACCCTTTTTTCAGCAATTTTTTAGTTTTTGGATTTTTTTATCTCGATATGGACCGATCAACTAGACCGACGTCTCATTCGAAAGGTAATTTAATTATCTTTTTTTTTTTTTTTTTTTATTTTGTTTAACGTCGCTCTATTTATGATCTATCAGTGCTAATCAGCGACGGAGGCTTGCAATGTATTTGAGAACAAAGCACATGAAACTTTTTTCAGTGGTGCTTGTATCAATCAGCAGGGACTGGGAATCGAACCCGGGCCTACCGGGTGCGAGTTCGTCGCCCTATAGGCCAATCAATGAAGATTTTTTCGTGACATTAATACTATCAGCAAACCGACTATGCAAAGTTGTTTAATACTATGCGTAGATGAAAACGTATATGTTTCCAAATCGCAACTTTCATTTAATAACTTTTTACAGCCGTTTGAAATTTGCAAAAACATGTTTTTCGCGTATAAAACCAAAACTATTGAAGTTAGGTATGTACCTCAATGGAATAAGTTATAGATAATAGAATTATCTATAAAATAAGCTATCGCTTATCTCAATCGAGTAACTAATAATCAATATAATTGCAAAAAACATCAAAATTGATCAAAAAAGGTAACATTTCAATAATTCATATCTCCACATAGAGTGATGTTGAAAGAATTAGCTTATGATATTTTGTAGATTGCATTGTTTTCTTCATGTATGCTAAATCTGAGCTATATATAATTATTAGTTTCGGCACTACAGTAATGACAATTAAACCTTTTTTTTTTAGTACATCTTGCATAATGCCCTGTGGCTCAGCCGTTAGCGTTATACATTATTTGAAAAAAGTTTTTTAAAGCTCAATAATCAAACTACAACTTTGTCATTTGAACTTTTGCTCTAAAATCAGTTTAAAAGGGTGAAATTTGTCGTTGAATATCGGGCAAAATGCGCCCGAGCGTCAAAGAAAGCGAGTGGTGGGAGATACAGATCCCGCGGAGGGGAAGTATATATAGTAATAGAAAAGCCAGGCGCTCGGCGTTTGACTTCAATATTACTTATTTTGATATTATTTACGCTATTTTACTGAAATTTTTTTTATTTTTCAAGTTAATTAAGTACGTATTCGATATTTGTTAAATAAATAATACGAAACATATAAATATATGTATATATTTTATTATAATTTAGGCAAATAGTAATTTATATTTATTTATAATATATTTATCCCCATAAAAAATGTAGTAATTTCATTAACATTTAAACAAAATACATGTTCATTTTTGGTAATTATATATTTGTATTTATCACATTATAAGTGTTCTTAAAACGTAACGGTTATTTTTATAAATATTATAAATAATATCTCAAACTGTTAATTTCAATAAAATAGCGTAAATAATATCAAAATAAGTAATATTGAAGTCAAACGCCGAGCGCCTGGCTTTTCTATTACTATATATACTTCCCCTCCGCGGGATCTGTATCTCCCACCACTCGCTTTCTTTGACGCTCGGGCGCATTTTGCCCGATATTCAACGACAAATTTCACCCTTTTAAACTGATTTTAGAGCAAAAGTTCAAATGACAAAGTTGTAGTTTGATTATTGAGCTTTAAAAAACTTTTTTCAAATAATGTATAACTCTAACGGCTGAGCCACAGGGCATTATGCAAGATGTATTAAAAAAAAAAAGGTTTAATTGTCATTACTGTAGTGCCGAAACTAATAATTATATATAGCTCAGATTTAGCATACATGAAGAAGACAATGCAATCTACAAAATATCATAAGCTAATTCTTTCAACATCACTCTATGTGGAGATATGAATTTTTTAAATGTTACCTTTTTTGATCAATTTTGATATTTTTTGCAATTATATTGATTATTAGTTACTCGATTGAGATGAGCGATAGCTCATTTTATAGATAATTCTATTATCTATAACTTATTCCATTGAGGTACATACCTAACTTCAATAGTTTTGGTTTTATACGCAAAAAACATGTTTTTGCAAATTTCAAACGGCTGTAAAAAGTTATTAAATGAAAGTTGCGAGTTGGAAACATATACGTTTTCATCTACGCATAGTAATAAACAACTTTGCATAGTCGGTTTGCTGATACATAGTATTAATGTCACAAATTACCTCATTTTTGGTTTCATTGATTGGCCTACTACTGACCGAGCCATTGCAGGCCTCAATTCAATTATCTACAACTTGCTGTATTGGAGCTTTGCTCTGCACATTTCCGTTCTAGACGCGTAAATCATGTTTTTGCAACCTTTAATCAATTTTAAAAAAATAAAGGAACAATATTTAGGAGTTGGAAACATAACAATCTTTGTTTATTCATACCGATAAAAAAGAATATCGTATTCGTTTGTTACTAAAAGTTTTCTCCTAAATATGTCTTGATTGATTGACCTATTGGGATTACAAGCATTTCCTTTAGGAATTACAAATTTTTTATGTTTGAAATATGTTCATTTCATGTTGAAGTGAGTGTAACTGTTCAGCTTTTCACGATACAAAACCAGAACCAGGTATTTGAGTTTAATCACTCTCCAATAAATTTCTATACCATCATTAGTACTTAGACTTCGTAATGCTTTGGTTCAAAATATGAAAATTTATTTATTCAATCTTTATAAACAATCAAAGACA